GCCAGCAGCTTCTGGATGTCGGGTGGGAAGTAGCGCAGGGCGTTCCTCAGGGCCAGCTGGGCAGGGGACGGGGACAGGCAGCTGGGGTGACGGGCCTTCTTCCCTTCCCACCTGGAATGGCTTTGCTCCAACCCACTGACCCACTCTGGGACCTCCAGAGCCTCACCCTAGGCTCATAGGCAAGGTCACCTCCTCCAGGGAGACCTCCCTGATTGCAGCCCCGTCCCCCGTCCTGCAGACAGAACTAGCTCCTTCTGCTCTGGCTCATCACAGACCATTTCTTGGACTCAGGCCCCGGGCCAGAGAGAGGCTCGCTGGAGGCTGGTGACTGGGGGGTGAGGAGAGGGGCTGCAGACTGAAGGGGCGGGCAGGTGTCCTCCACCCAGTGCCCACTGGGTGAGTGGCACAGCAGCTAGCTCCCTCTCCACTGGGCAGCCTCAGGCCCAGGCACTGGGAGGGAGATCCCCGATGCCAGGGCAGAGCCTGAAGCTAGGACCAAGGGCCCAAGGGAAAGGAGAGCCCCAGAGAGGCCATCTTGCCCAACTAGGGAAAGAGCCCAAAGCCCCATGCTCTCCAACCACTCTTTTCCCTTCTGCCTGCCGCGTTCCAGGTCTGCCCCAGGACCTTTGCACTTACCCTACTCCTCTCCATCTTCTCTTCCGGTCTCAGAGCAGTAATCTTGCCCCCATGCCCCCCCCCTTTTTTTATCCCCAGACCTCTGAATGTGAGGATTTTTTTTGGAGGGGTACCAGGGATTGAACCCAGAGGCGCTGAACCCCTGAGCCCCGTCCCCAGCCCTGTTTTGCATTTTATTTAGAGACAGGGTCTCGCTGAGTGGCTTAGGGCCTCACTAAATGGCTGAGGCTGGCCTTGAACTCGTGGTCCTCCTGTCCCAGCCCCTGAGGTCACACCCACCTCTGGTTTCTTTTATTTCACTTTCTAACAAAAAAAGTTTACTTCCTTAAATCGATTTCCCAACCTGCCACTAGGTGGCCCCCGAGGTCCAGATCCCCGGGACTGTCCATTCTCAAGGCCACGCGGGCTTCATTCCTGGGCTGGACTTGTCATTTCATTAGTGCTTTAGAGCGCTGGACAAGAAAGACCAGCTTCTAATTCTATAATGTTAATTTGTATCAAATATGTTTTTTTTTTGGGGGTCGGGGATATTGGGGACTGAACCCAGGGGTGCTAACCACTGAGCCCCATTCCCAGCCCTATTTTGCATTTTATTTAGACACAGGGTCTCGCTGAGTTGCTCAGGGCCTCGCTGTTGCTGAGGCTGGCTTTGAACTCGCGATCCTCCTGCCTCAGCCTCCCGAGTTGCTGGGGTGGCAGGTGTCACTGATTTTGTTTTCTTTTTAAGGACATAGAGACATCCTGGGGGCATCTCAGCTGTACTGATGGCGTGTGGCCGGGCCTCAGTGGCTGAAGGTCCAGACACCGGCTCCCAGCAGGTAGGGGACCCAAGGGTAAAAAAGATCAATCACCCGCTGGACACCTGGGAGCTGAGCCAGATGGGCGGAGCCAAGGGGAGCCACGCCCCTGCGATGCCAGCCACGCCCCCGGCAGTGCCAGCTCCGCCCCTGGAGTAAAAGCCCCGCCCCAGCAGCATCAACCCGGCCCCTGCGGCGTCAGCCCCGCCCCCTGCGGCATCAGCCCCGCCCCCTGCAGCGTCAGCCCCGCCCACAGCCCCCGAGCTCCACAGGATCCCCCCTCCCATCCCTTTCCCTGCCCCTTCCCAGCTCCACCCAGCCCCGACCAGACCACAGCGACCCTCAGCCACCCTCCAAGCACAACCCCGACTTTGGGTGGGGTTCAGGGGAAAGCCTAAGGGGCAGCCACCCAAGGGGGCTTTGTCTGGAAAATGCTAGGGTTCCTCTTTTCATCTTTGCGCCTATTTTGTGTTTTCCACCTCCCACCCCTGTTTCTGAAGCCTTTGCGTCAAGAAAAAGGATCCCGGGTGCGGGGGAGGCTGGGGCTGGAGGATGGCAAATTGGAGGCCAGCCTCAGCGATTTACAGAGGCCCTGAGCAACTTAGTGAGACCCTGTCTCAAAAGGGTTGGGGACGGAGCTCAGTGGTTAAGAGTCCCTGGGTTGAATCCTTGGTACTACAAAAAAAGAAAAAAAAAATAGTAACTAAGTAGGTGGAAAACTCTATATAGCGCCACACCACTGTCCCCAGCCCCCTTGTGTCCCCCGTAGGATGCTAGCCGCAACTTCTGTGCGCATGCGCGCCTGCGGCAGGCTCCTAAGGCCAGTGTTTGGGGCAGGGCAAGGTACACAGGCCTGCTGCTGGCTCTGGGCCATTTCACACCCAGCCCGTTTGTCCTCCCACTAGAGGTGGCCTGTGTGCCACCACTTGCTGGCCCGGTGACCTTGAGCTTCAAGATCGTCATCTGCAAAGGGTGAGGGTAATTCCTGGCCCACATGGCCTGTCCCCTGCTCCCCTGAGAGGGCCCAGCGGCTGGGTGAGAGACTGAGTAGGGGGCAGGAGTAGAGGGTCCCCGCGGGGACATCTGAGGGGACACCAGGCCCTCGCAGGCTCCGGCCGATTTCTTACCTGCTCTTCTGCAGGGCTGAGGCCAGGGGTCCTGACGGGGGCGTGGGGCACCCCAGGCCAGCGTCCCCGGTTCTCTGGCAGGGGTCGCAGGGGCAGGCCCGAGCACAGCTCCTGGAGGCTGGACATGTCTGGCTGAGAGTCGAGGCCAGCGCTGTGCAGAGGCCAGGAGGAGACTGGGCAGTAGAGGCCAGCAGGGTGGGGACCTGCAGCCTCAGGGCCACCTCCTCCAGCCCCTCATTGGGCCCAGGGCTGGGGGAAGGAGCCACGTGCAGGTCACAGGGGCAAGTCCTCTGGTCCCTGACTGATAGGCGGCTGCCTGGGTGGTGACGGGGGGGAGGGGCCGGCTTCCTCCTGGGGACAGGCTGGACGGGGGTCCCCTGGTCCCTTCCAGTGGGGTGGCCTGGAGGGTGGTGCTTTGTGGAACATGACTCTGGGGAGCTGGTCGGGCTCCAAGGGGGTGTTGCTTTGGCAATCTTATGGGGGTGTGACACCACTGTCACAATCCATGTTGAGTCCCAGTGGTCCTGGGAAGGGACACCTGGGTGTGACTCTAGCTCAGCTCCTGACCAGGCCTGTGGCCTTTGGCCTCATCCCTATCTATTAAGTGGGTGGTAATTAACTGCCCAGGCTGCAGGGACAGGAAGTGTCCAAACACCCTGTGAAGGGAACAACAATAAGGTCACTGACTGTCACCTTCCAGGGCTTGATCTTTTTTTTTTTTTTTTTTTTTTTTTGGTACCAGGGATTGAACCCAGGGTGCTTAACCCCCTGAGCCCTGTCCCCAGCCCTTTTTATATTTTATTGAGAGACAGGGTCTTACTGAATTGCTTAGGACCTTGCTAAGTTGCTGAGGCTAGCCTCCAACTCATGATCCTCCAGCCTCAGCCTCCCAAGCTGCTGGGATTGCTGGTATGCACCACCGTGCCCGGCTAAGCTGCCCATCTCTAACACACTTTATTTTCTCCATGTCACCATGCATATCCATCTGTCCCTATTTTCTATGTCCTCGTATATAATATAAAGTCAATGAGAGCAGACGCTGTGATCGTCTGATTCTTTCCACTGGTGCCTGTGTATATAGGGGGTTGCTATCTGTGGAAGGAATGAAAGAGGGACAGTGTCTGTGGGGGGACAGCAGATGCAGAAAGGAACTTCTCAGGGAAGTTCCAGAGACTCTGGGCCTCTAGCCAGGCCCCCCAGAACCTTCTAGTGGGTCTCCCCATCTCCAGGATCATCTCTCAACTCAGAGAGGCTGAGATGTTGTTCTCAACTGTGGCCACCAGGTGGCAGCCTGGAGCCAGGACACGCAGCAGGACTCTAGGGGCTGGACCCGGTACTGGGAGGGCAGGTGGGAAACTCAGGAATGGGGGTTAGGTGATAAGTGGGGTGGCAGGGGACATTGATGGCTTGAAAGCTCTGGGTCCTGGACTAATCTGGGGGTGACCGGGAGGTCACCAAGGCTGGAAGAGTACACGATAAGGAGTGTCTTGTTCTGTCTGTGAGCTGGGTTTCCTGTCACTTGAGAACCATGATCACCAGTTGAGGCCACATCAACTATTATTTACTCCATCTTCTTCCTCTTCTTTATTTTGGGTCCCAGGGATTGAACCCAGGGGCCCTTGACCACTGAGCCCCATCCCCAGCCCTATTTTGCATTTTATTTAGAGACAGGGTCTTGCTGAGTTGCTTAGGGCCTCGCTAAGTGGCTGAGGCTGGCCTCCCACTTGCGATCCTCCTGCCTCAGCCTCCCAAGCCACTGGGACTACAGGTGTGGCCAACTGGCCTGGCTCCTGCCTTTCTTTATCTTTCCAGGCAATTTCTGAGGACTTCCTGGTGCCTGAACTATTGCGGGTGACACAGATGAGGCACAGCAGGATAGGGGGGCATGTCCCAGGGGGTCCCTTCCCCCTCCAGAGGCTGGACAAGATCTGCAGGAGCCGGAACTCAGGCAGGATCCTGCCATCTGGTCAGGAAGGTAGGGGACAGGACGGTCCTGGGGGGACGAAGGGGCACTCTTGTGACTGATCCTGAGGGTGGGGCTCCTGTAGGACTCAAGTCCAGGGGGCCACCCCCGTAGGCTCCCGGGCTCACTCCAGACCAGCCCTGGGCGCCTGGCATGTAAGGAAACCAAATGTAAGGGACAGTAGCTGGGAGGGACCTGCTCCTCCCACTTCACCACTGGAGAAGGCTTCTTGTGACACTCCAGGGCGGGGACTTTCTGGCGACGAGTTCCCACCCGCCCAGCCTCTGCCCCGGGCGGGCTGCTGACCTACTCCGTGGGGGCGGAGTCTGAGGACTTGTGTCCCCACCTGCCATCGCTCGCCTTCCCAGTCCCCAGGCTCCGTGGAACGCGCCACCCAGGCGGGCCCGGCGGGTCCTGGAGCCCGGCGCCAACGTCCCCCGCGCTGTGCAGCGGCCTGTCGCCCCTGAGTGGCGCAGCATGGGCAGGCGCTGCTCCTGGCGGCGACGCGCGTTGGTGGCCGCGGGTCTGGGCGCTGCGCTGCTGCTGCTGTGCGCCCTGCGCCCCGGTGAGTGACGGCCCCGGTGAGTGACAGCCCGGCTCCCGCCGCCCCTCCACGCTCTGGGTCCCAACCCCCAGCCCCACAGCAGCCTGTCCCCTGGAGATCGCGGGGCCACCTGCTGTCCCCTCCGTGGCTCAGGAGGCAGGAGGAGGTGGAGAGCATTTGGCCACCCTGGAATGCAGTCCCCTGGAGGTAACCAATGGGATCAGGACCGTCACCGCGAGGGGACAGTGGACTCTCTTCAGTCATCGGCTGTCCATTTGCAATGGGCCCTGTCCCCTGGAGTCCCCCGCAGTCCACACCCTGGGAACACTGGGTGCTCCTCTGGACCCTCCCCCACCCCTCAGGTCTGGTCTGGCTGGGAGAACTGGGCGGCCAATCCCCACTGCGCAGGCCCCAGCCACTCCCTGGCCAGGGACAGGACAGCGTGTTCACTTGGAGTGCTCAGAGGTCTTCCTTGAAAATCTCCCAAGCAGCCCATTTCATAGAGGAGGAAACTGAGGTCAGAGTGGACCACAGTGTCGATGGCTAAGTGGCAGCTGTGCAGTCTGTCTGGTGCTGGGGGTTACTCAGTGGCCTGATCTTGGTGACTGTCATTTCCCTGTGTGTGTGTGTGTGTGTGTGTTGGGGGGGGGGGATGTCTGGGGGTCTCTTCTGGCCTCCCCCATCCCCACTGTGGACTCTGTGAAACCCTTGGACCCTCCCAGACAGCTCCGTATCTCAGGGAGGGAGGACAGCAGGACCCTGGGATCAGGGTGACCCAAGGAATGAAGCCCAGGGAGCACTTACCCACGGAAGGACAGAGGGCCCGGGCTGGTGGCCTAAAGGCCACTCGACAAGTCCTGTTGAGTGAGGCTGTGTCTGTCACAGCACACAGCAAAGCTCACTCAGCCCGCACCTGGGTGGCCTTGGGGATGGCACCGAGCTACTGTGGACTTGGGGAGGACCTGCCTGCTCTGGCCCTGCCTCACCTCTCTCTGGGGCGGAGGCCAGGGCTGGGCTGTGGTCCAGGTGTGCAAAGCCAGGGGGGACCCTGGGGTACCTACCGGGCCTCTGCCCACTCCCCCGGCCCCTCTGCGACTCCCTCCATGTCTGGACGCAGCTGGGGCCTCTCTGGGCTCAGGAAGGAGCTGGAATCACCTATATGTAGGGAGACAGGGCCTTGCTAAGTGGCTGAGGCTGGCTTTGAACTCGCGATCCTCCAGCCTCAGCCTCCCAAGCCACTAAGATGACTCGCGATCCTCCTGCCTCAGCCTCCCAAGCCGCTGGGGATGACAGGCGCGCACCACCCTGCCCAGCTGTTTTTAATTTTTACTTTGAGACAGATCTCACCTCAGATCTGCTGAGGCTGGCTTCCAACCTGTGATTCCCCTGCCCCAGCCTCCCAAGTCACCCGGTCACCTTCTGGGTTCTGACCCTTCTGACGTCCCTCCTCTCGCAGCAGAACGTGGGAGAGCGGCTTGTGTGGGATAAGGAAGACAGAGGTGACACTTGCCAGGTGCTGTGGCACACAACTGTAATTCCTGTGACTAGGGAGGCTGAGGCAGGAGGATTGGGAGTTGGAGGCCAGCCTCAGCAACTCAGGGAGACCCTGTCTCTGAATAAAACACAAACTATGGCTGGGGATGTGGCTCTGTGGTTAAGGCCCTGTGTTCACGGAGATGTCCTTCCACATCTTCCTTCCTGGAGAGGGTGAGGGAAGGGGCCCAGGGACCTCAGGTGCTGGGGACAACGGGTATCCTGAGAGCCTTAGCAGAACAGGGTCTTGGAGACTCCCCGGGGGAGCCCTGCAGTGTAGGTGCTGCTGGTCAGCCGGGCTGTGGGGTGGCCGTCTGCTCGCCGGGTCTTGCAACACTGTCACCAGCCACAGCTTATTAACTGGAAACTGGGTGGTGTGACCTTTGCCCACAGCACGGGGAGTCTCCAGATAACCTGTCCCCTACCCATGGTGGCCTCTCCTGGTCTCTTTGACATCCCTGCTCCCTCCCCCAGCCCCTCTCCCGCCTCCTGTTTCTCAGTTTTCAAAGCAAAAACGCCCTCCTCTCCCCCGCATGGTCACCCAGCCTTAGCTCAAAAAGCCCAGGCCTGTCCCCTTAGGAGGGACTTGGAGCTGAGGACCCTGGCCCAGGCTGTCCGGGTAATGGGAGTGGGGTCCCCTGGTGTGGCCCTGCTGGAGGGTCTCCGGGGGAGCTTCAGGACACCCCTCTTTAGATCCTCTGTCCTCTCTGTCCCCCTCCGTGGCCAGCCAGCCCATCCGGGCCCTGTGGTCTGGGTGCTGGGCGGGCGTGGGTGTGGGCAGGGCTGGACCTGCCCTGTAATCAGTGGCCACAGCTATTCTGGACTTTTCTCTGATGCCTGACCCCTTGTCTCCGCTGCCCGCTGGCCCTGGGGGACTGCTGCAGGCTGTGATCTGCCCAGGAAATAGCAGGCCTTGGGCAAGGGTGGTGCATCCGGTCCAAATTGCAGGGCCCTGGAATAGACGGGCTGCTCCCCAGAGCTGGCTGCTCCCCAGCTGTGGCCCTGGACACACCCCTTCACTGAGTGACCTCAGGCTAGAGGGGCAACTCTCATCTGCAAAATGACAAGAAGGACCCGCCTTCTCTCTGGGTGGTGAGGCCCCCCCCCCCCCCACAAGCTCAGCCCCGGGGACAGCTGCTGTATCAGGCCAGCAGCCGTGGCCACTTGGGGGCCTCTCCCAACTCTGAGGGACCATCCAACATGGCTGCCCTCTCCTGGTGAGCGTGTTGTTCTGGGAAGGCAACCACAGGTCCCCCAGAGGTCCCTGAGTCCCAGTGTGGTGACAGAAATCCAAGTTCTAGAACCATCCATGACCCCCAAGGGTCACAGGCAGGCCTCTGTCTCCTCCCAGTGCCCTGGTCACAGGGGAGCCTGGCTCTTGTTCCAGGGACACATGGCATCGTCCGGGGTGTGGAGGGAGCCTGAAACATGTGTTTCGAGACAGGGTCTCGCTAAGTGGCTGAGGCTGGCCTCCAACTCCCAATCCTCCTGCCTCAGCCTCCCAAATAAATAAAAAGGGCTGGGGACGTGGCTCAGTGGTTAAGTGCCCCTGGGTTCAATCCCTGGTACCTAATTATTCTATAGTGTTAGGGAGACCAAGGAATGTAGGAAGGAGATTATGTTCCCAAGTCCCAGATGTGTCCAGACTCCGGAGTCCACGGCTCGCTCACCCCATACAGCACTGACACCTCTTCTCTATGTCCTCACAGCATTTGAAAACACAGCCCTGGGCTCCATTTGGCTCGGAGGAGAGAAGAAGAGTCCCCTGCAGTTACTCTATGACCTGGACCAGGTAGGTGGACAGAGCCAATCCCACCGCTGCAGACCCCAGCTATGGGGACCCAGAGCGCCTGCGTGTACCTGCTGGCCACCGGGACTGGACCCTGGGGCATGGGGGGACTTGCTCCTTAGCTCAGGCTTTGTCCAGTGAGTGACAAGGGCAGGTCTTGGGGATACACTGAGACCCCTGGGGTCTCCACCCACCCTTCCTGCCATCCCTCATCCCTCGCGCCCCAGAATTTTAGGAGCCCCACCCTTTCCTTGGCCTCCAGCAGAGGGACCATGCGACCCACTGCGCATGCTTGTAAGTCGGGTGCCCATACTCAGCTCCCAGGGCGCATGCGCGCACGCACTCCCACCACCTCCCTGTGCGCTGCTTATTGATTTAGGATGGAGTTGCAGCCAGAAAAGCCCATTGTAAGTTGAAAATATCTTTTGTTTTATTTTATTTTATTTTTGTTGCACCACGGATTGAACCCAGGGGTGCTTAACCACTGAGCCCCATCCCCAGCCCTTTTTAAATTTCAATTTTTATTTAAGAAAATGTTTTCGGGATTGAACGCAGGGACGCTCAACCACTGAGCCACGTCCCCAGCCCCTTTTTAAAGATTTTTAATTTAGAGACAGGGTCTTGCTCAGTTGCTTAAGGCCTCGCTAAGTTGCTGAGGCTGGCCTTGAACTCATGATCCTCCCGCTTCAGACTCCCGGGCCGCTGGGATGACAGGCGTGCGCCACCGCACCTGGCACAGCGAGGCCACTTGGACATCATTCTGCTCTAGTCCCGTCCATTCTGAGCGCCCCTCCCGATACTTGCGGGTGTCTCCAGCGCACGCGATTGGTCTTGTCCTTCTCGGAGCCTAAGCCGGGTTAGGTCCCATTGGGCCTGCTCCAAGTCCAGGTCCGATTCTGCGGCTGGGATTGGCGGCCGCGATCGGTGGCAGGCCCGGGGTCTAGTCCAGGTGCCCGAGTCCCCGAGCGCGCCCCATCGGGTAGCCCCAGGGCCCGGGAGCTCACTGGGGCCAGCAGCTCTGACGCGTGTCCCTGTCGCCCGCAGGGCCCGCTCTCGGCCCTGGCGGAGGTGCACCGGCAGCGGCGCGACCTGCTGCGCCGCTCCTGCAACCGCCACACGCGCCGGCAGCGGCTGCTGCAGCCGGAGGACCTGCGGCACGTGCTGGTGGACGACGCGCACGGGCTGCTCTACTGCTACGTGCCCAAGGTGGCCTGCACCAACTGGAAGCGAGTGCTGCTGGTGCTGAGCGGCCGCGCCCGCGGCGATCCGCGAGCCATCCCCGCGCACGAGGCGCACGCGCCGGGCCGCCTGCGCTCGCTGGCCGACTTCAGCCCCGCCGAGGTCAACCGGCGCCTGCGCGCCTACCTGGCCGTGCTGTTCGTGCGCGAGCCCTTCGAGCGCCTGGCGTCTGCCTACCGCAACAAGCTCGCGCGACCCTACAGCGCCACCTTCCAGCGCCGCTATGGCACGCGCATCGTGCGGCGCCTGCGTCCAGGCGCCCAGCCGGAGGCGCTGACTCGCGGCCATGATGTGCGCTTTACCGAGTTCCTCACCTACCTGCTGGACCCGCGCACGCGGCGCGACGAGCCCTTCAACGAGCATTGGGAGCGTGCCCACGCGCTCTGCCACCCGTGTCGCCTGCGCTATGACATCGTGGGCAAGTTCGAGACGCTGGCCGAGGACGCGGCTTTCGTGCTGGGCCTGGTGGGCGCCCCGGACCTGCGCTTCCCTGCGCCTCCGCGACCCCGGGCGGTGCCCGCGCGCGATCTGGCTGCGCGCCTCTTCCAGGACATCAGCCCCTTCTACCAGCGGCGCCTGTTCGATCTGTACAAGATGGACTTCCTGCTCTTCAACTACTCGGCCCCCTCCTACCTGCGGCTGCGCTAGGGCCCCCGTGGTGGCCGCAGGAAGGGCAGTGCTGTCCCCGCAGGGCCTGGGACGTGGCGGCTGCGTAGGGGTCTGCGATGGGCCCGAGAAAGACCCCTCCTTTGAGAACCACTGCGAACACACTTACCGAGCCAGCCAGTCATCTGGGTGCAGGTCCCCCGTGGCCAGATTGGGGTACCACCTGGCTCAGGTGGCTGTGGACCTGTCACCCTGCCTCTGCCTGTTTCTTCTACCTGCTCCAGGTGACAGGTACCTTCCCAAGCCGCTTGGGTGGCTAAGAGTTTATAATCCATTTTTTCGTTTTTAGGCTGCAAGTGGCCAATTTGGGGGTCAAGTCTGCCCCCATCCTGCTCATGGGGCCATAGAGCAGAATGCTACCGTGTGACTCTTGTGGCCCCAACCAGTGCCCTTGCCCACCTCACCCACCCGGGCAAGGACAGACCTGCAAGGGGAGAAGATCTCCATTGGGCCAGTCTCACGTTAGGGCCACCCGTGGATCCGGAGTGAGCTGCCTTCCACTCCGCGGGTCACAGATGGGTCCTCTGTGGCTGGCCCCACCCCGAGTTCCCCTTTGATCTCAGTCTTTGCAGATGCTAGGTCTTTCTGGGTGCCAGAGGAGCCCTGGGCGCACCTTGGTGGCAGATTACATAGGACATGGGTGGGGCTGGGGGGTGGAGGAGTTCTGTTTTTGAAATAAAAGTGTTTTGTTACTTTTTGATTGGATGGAGTTTTTCTGCCTCTCTGGTGCCTTTGCTGAGGGGACCTGGGGCTGCCAGATCTTGGGCCAATCCCTGGGTTTCCCTTGCTGGCCTAAGAAGTCATGATGGCCGTGAGGGTTTGGAGGACAGTGGTCGCAGAACCTGGCTTACATCTGCAGCGGTCCCCAGGTGTGCAGAGGGGGTGCCCTGGGGCAGCAGGAGTGCTAAGTGCAGGTCTGTCCCGTGACAACTTGGAGACAGTCTCATCTTTCTCTCTGACCAGGCCAAGGATTCAACACCAAACCAGCTCAGCCAAGCCCTGTCCTTAGCACGACTGTGTGTGTGTGCGTGTGTGTGATTGGGTACGTGTGTGTCGGGCCCTTGAGGACTGCAGGGAACTGGGTGGTTCTGGAAAATTCTTCCTGGTGTCCTCTTTGGCTGTCCTCGGTCCTTGGTCCTTTCTGGGTGGAGCCAGGTCATCTGGCCACTGCCCTCTCCAAGGCAGGGTCCTCAGCATGGTCAGTGGATGACCCGAGAGAGTCACGTGCACAGAACTGGGTGACACAGGAGGTGCTAGGTGGCTCTTCATTTGACACCCCCTTTGCTGGTAACCATTAAGACAGTCTCCCTTTCCTCAAGTGACAGACAGCAGGAACTAAAGGTCATGTGACATTTTTTTTTTTTTTTTTTACTGGGGATTGAACTCAGGGTCACTTGACCACGGAGCCCTGTCCCCAGCCCTGTTTTGCATTTTATTGAGAGACAGAGTCTCATTGAGTTGCTTAAGGCCTCGCTTTGGCTGAGGCTGACTTTGAACTCACGATCCTCCTGCCTCAGCCTCCTGAGTCGCTGGGATGACAGGCGTGGGACACTGAGCCTCTGGGCCTCTTAATCTGTCTTGTAGATCATTCCAAATCAATATACAGACTTGGTTCTTCACTTTTAAAGTCTACACAGTATGTCGGAGTAGGTGTAGATATCAGTAGTGTCCTACTAGTAGGGTTTGGTTGGTTTGAGGTCTTTCACTATTTCTGACAGTACTGGAGGGACTAGCGTGTCCTGTCATCTTGACTTCCATGTGGGTTTGGATCAAGTCCTTAGTGACATTTGCTTTATTTCTCTTTTTTCTTTTCTGGTCCTGGGGATTGAACCCAGGGGTGCTTCACCACTGAGCCCCATCCCCAGCCCTTTTTATATACAGGGTTTCACGAAGTTGCTTAGGGCCTCACTAAGTTGCAGAGGCTGGCCTCCAACTTTGGGTCCTCCTGCCTCAGCCTCCTTTCTTCCTGAGCCTCACACTAGTCCTGCAAGATGAGACATAATGACCCCACTTCTACACACGAGAAAAGAGAGACTCCGAGACAGTGACCAGTCCACGCGGAAGTGGGATTTCAATGTACAAAGTTTATTACTATGTACACGTGTGGTAGGTGTGGTTCCCGGGGAGGCAGAGAGGTCCTGGACTCCCGAGGGCATCAGGGCGTTCCCCTCGAGACAGTCTCTGCGGCTGCTGCCCAGAACGTGCCGAGGAGAAGGTGGCTGAGAGGAAGGTCACCACAGACCTGGGGGCATTAGGAGAAGCCCCTCAATGGCTGATTTGCTTCCCTGAGCCAGGGGTCTTTAGTGTCGCTGTGCAGAGGGGATGGCGGGTGTCCGGCTTGCTTGGGGAAGCGGAGGCTCAGTAACTTGAGTTCCCAAAGGTGGCACTGGGGTGGCGGTGGGGGCGGTGGGTAGATGCTGGGTGATGCGGTGTGCTGAGGAGCCCCGAGCCTAGAGAGCCAGCCACAGCCACATGTCACCCCGGGAACGCAGCCAGTGGGGGTCCTCAAGTGCTACCCATGCACAAGGTGATGGGCAGGGACACCTCTCTTCACCAGACCCCTTCTAGGGCACCCTCTTTAGTAGCTACATGTGGGGACATGTTGGCTGGCACTTACCACCCAGGGGGACCCACCCGCTGCCTGTCTCTTAGGGATGGAAAGTGGCCTGTCCCTCTCTCTAGGAGGGACCTTATCTTATTCCCTCCTGGGGCGTCGACATGTGAAGTCCCCTGGCCCCTCCTTCCCCAAGCTCCGTGACGCCCCCCCTGGTATTCACTCCCTGCCCTTCTCTGAAGGCCAGCCTTCACGGCTCCCAGGGGGAGGCCCAGACAGGAGGCCAGAAATGGGGGGCAAGGTGGGGACCCTCTCCCACATGTAGCCAGCAGGCACTAGACGGATCCCATGTCACCCAAGGGGGGTTCCATTCAGGGTCTGTGGCAGGACTTGGGGACCTAATGGTCCTGCAGCCACCCAAGAAGGGGACAGTGGGGCTTAGGGGCAGAGGCCGAGGTGCACGCTGTGTGGGAGAGGCCGGGGCACTGGGTGGGGCTGGGGCACCAGGAGGCTGGGGTGCAGACCTTTGTCCCAGACCCTCGGGTTCATGCCGCACTGTCCCCTGTTGCTTTTGGTGTGTGTCCAGGGTGGCTCTTTCCTGTCCTGCGCCCTGGGCGGGCCTGTGGTCACTGGAGGGCTGCTGGGGTGGGACTCACCCTGGGACGGGGATGGACCTGGTGGCCACCAGCTTCTTCTGCAGGGGCAGCAAGTCCCTCGGGGGGGTGTTCCTGCTGTCCCAGACTTTCAGGGACTCGGTGGTGGGCTCTGTCAGCCACGAGAACCTGCAACACGCGTCCTCGTGTGGAGGTGGCCCCCCGAAGGCGCGCTCGCTCTTCTGGAACTTTCTACCTGCTGGGCACCCTTCTGCATGCTTGACCTGGGCACCTCTCTGGAGGCCCCTCAACCTGGGCTGGGACAAGGCGGGGGGACAGTGGGCGACAAGGCAGCTCCAGGCTGTGCGCACAGCAGGGCTCCTAGGGCCTGGGTGCGGGGGACTCTGCCCCTCAAACGCCCTGGAATGTCCTGGTGGCGGGGCCGGGGGCACAGGGGACCTAGGGGTCTGGGCTTTGGGTACCTGTATGGAAAGTTGTTGGTGAATCTGTCTTGGGCCTTGCTCTTGGGTTTCTTATGTTGGGGACACTTCTTGTGGGTTCTCGGTTCCATGGTGCAGGGTGTCAGGACAGGACCCTCTTAGCCATGGCTGGAAGGCAAGGGGTGTCCTCTAGGGAAGGGCAGGGATGGGACACAGCGCTGCAGAGGCCCTGCTTAACTCTCCCCCTCCGTGGAGGACATGCCAACGTCACCTCCAGATTTGGGGAGGGACAAGGAGGCTCCGAAAGACCAATGCCGGGGGACAGGAGGGCTTCAGGTGGGTGCTGGACTACGTGGCCTCAGAAAGTTTGGGTGGCCAGAACCCAGAGGTCCCTCAAGGCCATTCCATGGTGGCCATCCTAGTTGCTGACGTCGGGGGGACGGGCCTACCACCTTGACTCCTTCGGCTTCCCAGGGGCAGGAGTCCGGGGCAGCCCTCTGACCTCATGGGCATCCACTCTACCACTGGCCACTCGCTGCTCCCCAAACTGACTTGGGGCTGTCCTTCTTGGCCACATGGGCTGCCGGAGCTCACCAGGCAGCCCCGTCCCCAAATCTGAGCGCGACCACGGCGGGGCGTGGGTCAGAAAGTCCGGGAAGGACAACGGGAGGGTCGCTATGGTTTCCCCAAGGCTGGACCCCTGGCCACAGGCCTCCCTCGGGAGGCTCAGCCGGAAGGGAGGCCCAGCCCCAGGGGGGGACCTCAAGCAGACGCCGGGCCACTGCGCTCTGGTTAGGAGAGGCCACAGGGGCGGACGTTGACCATGGTCCTCACTGCCACCCCACGGAGGGAGCCTGTACTCCATGGCTCTGGCCAGGCAGGGCCCCTAGAAGCCTCTGAGGTCACAATCAGGGCAGCAGCTGAATCCTGGGGTTTGCTGGCCCAGGGAGTGACCGTGGACAGCAGTGAGCGGGTTGAGACGTCATTGTGGCTGACCTGTCCTATCGGACCTTGTCCTGACCTGAGCTCCAGCCCCCAGGTACCACCAGGTTGGGGTCTGGCCTGGGCCTTGGGCTCTGCAGCCTGAATTCCTGTCTCCTGCTCCTCTGCTCCCTAGTGACCATCATCTGCCAGGGGACACCGTTAGTACCACCTAAAGGGCTATGGGGGGCATCGGATGTGGTCACACATGTCACATGCCTCCAGCCAGGCTCACTAGGAGACTTTTAAAGGGGCATAAATCGAGATGTTCCAAGGGACCTCACCAGGGCTGTGCAAATCTTCAACTTAACTTTCGGTTTGCCCATTTCCCCTCTGGGCCGGAGGATCCTGCCAGCTTCCTAGATAGTGGCTTGAAATGCACAGCAGGAAAGGACATCTTTAGTGACACACGTA